TCCTGTCATCCAACTCCATCAGCCCGTCGCTACGAACTGTAGAAGAGATTTTTCGCCCATAAATCAAATCCTTCAGAGCATTTTCAGTTCCTCATCAAATGTTTTTCATTTACTATTCATATGCATGGCCGCTAAGGGGTCAAATCAATATGAAAACAATTTTGTTCCTAATCAAGCATTGGCAACACCTTAAAGTCACAAGATCTCTCACAATTTCCTTTCCTTTCCTTTCCTTTCTCTACAGAAAATGGTAAACTTTGGCCCTAGATTCTGGTAACATTTACAGAAGAAAGATGACGGATGAAAATTCGGACCGATGATATGTATACGTTAATAAAGCATCTATGGAGTTAATTTTATCCATTAATCCTTAGTTAACTTGATGTTAACTTTATCCATTAACCCTTAATTACCAAGATAACTATCAATTCGTTAAAGAAAATTTCATAAAAACCAATTTATTTTTAAATTGCACGCGCATGGGTGTGCCTGTAGTACTAGTGTTAATTAGCACGACAAGCCCTTATTAACACACATCTAAAAACAAATTGCTTTGTATTGTGTTCACAAAAGAAAAAATATAGAAGTAGAATGAGAGACAATAATAAAATTTGTAAAAATTACGTCATAAAATTAAAAGGAAATTACATAAGGTGGGAAGAAAATGCCGCCTTGGGCCCTGGCCAGCCACATGGTCCATCTCCATTTATCCATCCATCAAGCGGAAACCAGGGCCAGAGGCAACCACCGTAGTTCACAAGATCCATTACCACATAATCATAACGCTATGCTGACATCACATGGACAAAAATGAAAAGAAAGAAAAAAAAAAAAAGAGTCCCTGGATCTCAAGCAAGTTCATATGTGGGCCGCCACCTTTGCCCCCTTTGACCCTCCAAATACAGTCGGACTAACGAACTTCCCCCCCTCTTTTCTGTCTCTGTTCCCTCCCTATTTATACCCTTCACAAACCTCCGATTTTTCTTCCATTCCATTTTCGAATTCTTCCGTTCCATCTCTCGAAAAAACTTGCTAACTCAACAGGCAAAAGAAAGGAGTTAAAAAAGCAAAAAGAACAATGTCCTACAACAGTGCTGTTCAAGAAGCTCGCCCTGTTGTCAGAAAATTTCTTGCAAGGCCTCAGCCTGAGGGCCTTGGCGCTATTGTCAGAAGAAGCATTGGAAGGTATTCCTTCGATGGTCTCGTTTTATGCATGTAAAAGAACCATACTGCATGTTAATTGTCATCATTTGTGCTGTCTGGCTTGTAAAGATTTTTTTTTTTTTTTTTGGTCAGGTTTGAGTTGAAGTATTTTGATCCTTTCCTTGCTTTGGACGAATTCTCAGGTGGATTTTTTTTTTCTCAGTTAGATCATTTTTGTGCAAGATTGGTTTTTTAACGCTAATCCATTAGTCCCTTTATCATATTACTCAAGTTTTTGTTCCTATTTTTCTTCTCTTCGTCGCATTGCAGTCTCTGCTCCAGGTGGATTTCCTGATCATCCGCATAGAGGTCTGCATTTAGACACTTGAAAGCATTTCATCAGACTCTTGAAATATCTGACTGCAAATTCAAAGTCTGCCACTGGATTTTAGTTCTGAATTCTGATCTTATCACTTCTGTTTTCTCAGGGTTTGAAACAGTCACCTACATGTTGCAGGTAGAGCTTCATCACTTGTATCATTTCCTGCTAGTTCCATTTTGATATATTACCAAATAGTTTTGGCTATCTTGCCTATTACTCTGTCGTCAATAGGAAAAACAAAATAAGGTGCAACGGATGCACTAAAGCACTTTTTTCTCCTTCACTGCCAAGAAGAATATTGTGACCACTGTTTGATCCTTAAGATCAAAGAAAGCAGTGAATTTCTAATTGCCGCAATTGTAAGTAAATTAATGAATTGGTAGCCATTGCGTCACTTGAATGAAAGCAATAGGTAACCCTTTTCTTAAGCTAGCTGGATAGGACCCGGCTTTCCATGTCAAGTTGCAAACAAGGTGATCATCAAGGCAATACTACTGTCAAATATGTCATCAAGCACCTGCGGCCTGCCGCCTGCCTGGCTAAGACAAATAGAATTTCAAGTCTTGTTGTCAGTAACTGAGACCAAAAATCACAATTTTACTACTAAATACTGAAGACTTTCAGTTTCTTCAACCACTAATTTGCGGGCAAACTAGCTAACTTTCGGCCTGCCAGAAATATATTTGTTTCATGATACACTTTTTTTTTTCCGGTTAAGTCATGATGCACGTATGTTGCTCACCTACAGTGCTCATTTTTACCCATTAGTAAGCAAAACAAACCGTTATGTATGTTCAAAATAGGTGGTGTTCGCGATATTGAAAAAGTTCTTGCATTTTGACACCAGGGAGCTGTGACGCATGAAGATTTTAAAGGACATAAAGGTACCATCAAAGAAGGTGATTTACAGTGGATGACTGCTGGAAGAGGAATAGTTCATTCAGAGATGCCAGCAGCTCAGGGAACTCAACGAGGTTTACAATTATGGATTAATCTCTGCTCTAGAAATAAAATGTAAGTTTTATTGCTTTTAAAAAGGGTCAGCGAAGTTGTAGATGCACAAAAATATCTTTTAAACCTTAACAGAAAGAAGGTTTTTGAGTTTTGCTGGGTAAAGAAGAAGTTTTTGAGTGAATTATAATGAAACTTCATGAATAATGTGAATGTAAACGCTTTCATTGCTCACAAACATGATGATTCATTGCCCACAAACATGATGATTCATTGCCATAATTGTTCAGCAATGTGTGTGCGCCTATAATTAATGTTATTGCCATGTGATTTATGTGCTTTATATTAAAACATGAAGATCACTGATATGGTAAAAGCTAGTGATTCTGCTGCACTTATATAGAAAGTAATCTATAATCTTCGTACTTTTTGACATTGGACTTTAAGAACTTAAAATGCATCAAATATTAATTATCTCTTCTCATGCCAAAAGGGTTGAGCCAAGATATCAAGAAATGATGAGCAAGGACATTGCAGAGGCAGCAAAAGATGGGGTCAAAGTCAGAGTTATAGCAGGAGAGGCCATGGGAATTACATCTCCTGTCTACACAAGGACCCCAACCATGTTCTTGGACTTCACCCTTAAGCCAGGAGCTCATCTTCAGCAACCAGTGCCTGCGTCCTGGAATGCATTTGTATACGTCCTGGAAGGGGAAGGCACCTTCAGCCACTCGAGGTCTTCTCCAGTAACAGCTCATAATCTTCTTCTTCTAGGCTCTGGCGATGGCCTTGAGGCATGGAACAAGTCCTCAAAGCCCCTGAGATTCGTTTTAGTTGGGGGCGAGCCATTAGGTGAACCAGTAGTCCAATTTGGGCCTTTTGTAATGAACACTCAAGAAGAGATTGATCAAACCATTGAAGATTTTGAAAATTGTACGAATGGTTTTGAGAGTGCTAGGCATTGGAGATCTGCATCAATCCGTGGTCTGGATTATTGATGAATTACTGCATATTCATTCTGCATTCTTTTGTTTTTGAAGCCAGAAGGAGAGGAAGTCAGGAAACATAAACACACTACTGCCACGCGTATCATTATTATCCGCTGCAACACTTTTTGTAGATGATGGATGTCATTTATACTAATGGCAATGTACCATGCTTCCACTATATTCTGTCAAAGCAAATGATAGCAAATATTTTTACACCTTTACAGTCCCTTTTTGTGGGTTCAATGATTCTTCTTCTTCTTTTTTTTTTCAAAGAATGGGATGCGGGATTTTAACAAACAAACCAATGCCATATTGCCATATGCATGGCCGTGCGCTGCTAATGCACTCGTTCTTGCCTAGCAAAATAAATAGAGCAGCTGTCACTAGGCTGCGAGGCAGAAATTCCTGACAAAAATTCGTGGCCTAATACCTAGCAGAAAAGTAAAAGGTATCCTGAGTACTACTTACTTTCTAGTTTGATTAATGCTGTCCATAGAGTCCATATGCCCTTTCGAGCAGATATTCAAGTTAAATGCTGTACAGTTTCCGGCAGAACGTCTGGATCCCACTTGTGTACGTAGTTGTATTGTATGCGTGATTTTGACCCTGTGATCTGGCTTAAAGAAATCCAGACGCCAGGAATCAAAATTTGGTCAACAAAACCGCTCTATAATCTGGTGGTACGCTGTACCCTACCATCCTCTTCTTGTCCTCTGATTAGAGGCAACCAATTCTTCCATGGCATAGGTGAATAGTGCCTCGTCTTCCACAGTATTCGCATTTATATTTTTCTCCAAAAAATATAAATAAGAAAAAGTTCCAAGCTTGCACAATGCTTAAATGCTTCACTTTTGTTTCGAGTATTTAGGACCCTGAGTTTCCGCATTTTGCCTAGTTGTACTAATCACAATCCACTAAATCCCTGTATTGGCACAACGCTTACCGAACTTCAGTTCGAAGATTAATGGAATCTTAAGAGTGGTAATGAATTTATGCTTCTCAAATATAAACTTTCGTGTTTATTTGATTTATTTTAAAGAACTTGAAATTTTATTCAAGTTTGACTGATTTATTTGTTGAATCAAGTTCGAACTTTTTTATTTTTTTTTTTCAAAGTTACGAAACATGAGGTGTTATTCAAGTTTAATTTAACTAATTGACGAATCAAATTCAAACGAATTTTTACTAAGCTCAACTTAGACTCGACTGTTGAGTAATTTGATTATCTTCCACCCTTATTCTGCCAATACTTGATCCATTAAGAGTAAAAAGATTCCAAGTGTTTGGATCGGAGATTATTTAAAATAAATATTGAAGCACTTTTTATAATAATGTTGTATATATGAAATAAGAAGGTGATCGGAAAGATAAATAGATGTATTAAAAATTATTTATAATGTAAGTAAATAATTTTTAACCAAATAGTAGCTCTCCAAATACTCAAAAGTTAAACCAGTAAAAGCATGAACAAGCTGGAGCTTTTCCAACTTACCATGCCTGGTCGAGGGCTGGAAGTGGCTCCTAGGACTAATAGGTGGTATAATAAGTCCCCTCCCAATCCCAAACACGCAAGCGAGCAAGAACTGCCGAGTTGGAAAGAGAGCAAGCAGGGTCCCAACTGCCACGGCACAATCGCCAATGGGGTTCGTCACTTAATCCTCAGGTGAACCCCCACGGCGGCAACAGCTGAAAAACAAATTCCAAAGCCTAAAATCCCGTCGTCCAATGATGATAATGAAGGCCAAAAGAGTAAAAATAGTTCTTTTCCTCTTCGCCCTCAACTCCGTCACTCTCTACTTCTACTTTTACTTCTCCTCCCACCCCGACTATTTCCCCAACAGAAGCAACCCTCACTTTACCCGGAATCATACAAACTCCCATGTGTCCATCACTGCTACTGCGAAACCCTGGCCAAGTCTCCCCTCCTACCTCCCCTGGTCCCATAATCGTGAGGTGCCGGTCCGATCTTGCGAGGGTTATTTCGGGAATGGCTTCACTCTGCTTGTCGATGCCCTCAAACTCTCGCCGGAGTCTCACCGGAAATCCGTCTCTGATAACTCTGCCGGGGGCGGATGGTTTAGGTGTCACTATAGTCAAACGCTGCTTAGCTCTATATGCGAGGGAGGACAAATTCGGATGATTGGAGAAAAAATTGTAATGTCTAAAGGAGGGGAAGAGTTGGAGATGGTGCTTGGAAGAGGGGAAGAGGAAGAATTGCCGTTATTTAAACCCGGTGCTTTCCAGATTGAAGTGCTCGAAAGGTCTAAAATAGGGAAGAAACTTGTGAATGTAGACTTTTTGAATAATTACTTACCAAATGGTGCCATTCATAGGCATACTATGCGTCAGTTGGTCGATTCGATTGAGTTAGTTGGGCCTAATGAGTTAAATTGTTCCGAGGTTAGCCTTCAGATTTTTTTTTTTTTTTTAATTTGGGTTCTCAGTTTGATCTATTAAAGTTTTGATCTTTGTTAAAAAAGGAAAGAACAGATGATTTTTTACCAAATTTGCAAAAAAGATTCTGCATAATTAATGAATCGATATCCCTGATTTAATAAATGAACTCATAACTAGCTAATCCAATCAATATGAATAAATTTCTCCCATTTTTGGATGCCTTATCAAATTTTCTTGCAGAGTCTAATGTGGTGTAATAAACAATTGATCTGTCAGTTCCATCAGTTGATTCTGGGAACACGGTGTACCTGGATTGAGATCTGGGTCTTTTTGTGATAACATGAGATCTAATCTGGGGCAGGACCAAAAAATGAAGCATCTTGCAGATGCTTGAAGTCCTCTTGAACTTTCAGAATGAGTCTTGCAATGAATGTTTGTGGGAGGTGCTGTATGACGGAGATGTAAATGATAAATGAGATTTGCAGCGAGCAGTTATAGTATCAAACTTGTGAATAATGCTGGCAATATCGTTTTCTCCTCTTTGATACTTGATTTAAGTTTCAATGCTATACTCATATGCTTGCAAGTAAGATTGTTCAAATCTGCATGAGTTTTATTTTTGCTGGAGCTTTCTGCATTTTTTGCCTTTTGCAATCGATCCATCACATTTTTCTTAATCTTAGCCATTTTGTTACGTTTTCTTTCAGTGGGTTGAGGAGCCTACGGTTTTGGTTACACGTTTCGAGTATGCAAATGTTTTTCACACCTTCACAGATTGGTACAGTGCATATGTGGCTTCTAGAGTTACTGGATTGCCCAATCGACCTCATATAGTTTTCGTGGATGGCCATTGCAAGGTATGAATATTCAGGCTAACATAGTTCTAGCAAAAATGACATTGTAGCATTTGTTATTGCAAGAATTTTGTCCTCTACTAAGTATTTGATAAACATGAAATGAGCCAGGGAAGGTGAATTTTGGATCACTTGAGATGTACAGGGGAGTCATTGAACTTATTGCAGGAGTTTTAAACTATAGATTTCTTGACATCAAGCATATTCAAAATCAGACTCTTAGAATAACTGGCTTGAAGAGTTGTAGTGGAAAAGACTTAGTTTTCAGCATGCTGCTTTCAAATTTCTGGATGTGTTAAAATTATGGTGCTTCTTCATAGCAGTTCAGTAGTTGAATAAATGGTTAGCCTGGACTTTTTTTTATCTTTTTCTGGCAGTTAGCCTGGACTTGATCATATGTGTCTGCCATTTCTTGGAGATGAACTCCACCGAAATGCATTTGGACATGTTGAGCCAATATTCATGCAAATATATTGCTGCTTGTTATCTGTTGTTTGTTCCATATTACCATTTTTATTCTTTTTTGGAAAGTCTTGTGCAGAATCTTATTACTAAAATTGACCAATTTCTTCATTCCAGAAGCTGGCGTTCCTCTGCTTTCTTCTTGTTCCCTCAATAACTGCTGTTCTTGCTGTTGCCTGCGGAAGACGTTCTTAATTTCAATATTACACTGCATTAATACTGATTACATCCATTTCTCTCTTTTTGTGCTTGGGCGTTCAATTTTATTGGCATTGTGGATGTTTTTGACATGTATAGATGCAGGAGAACATGCTTCAATAATGCTCTAAATAAATAAACATCTCTAGAAGTTAGTTTATGCCACCAACAATAGAAGATGAAACATGTTAAAAGTTTAAAACCAATTTGAGGACGTAATGACCAGATACTGGCATGCCAAGGTTGCTATGATTGCCTCTGCCAGTGTTACTGTAGTGGTCTATTAATTCACTGAAAGTTTTCCATTTAAGATAATTCCTTTCACAAAACTTTTCAGGCACAGTTGGAAGAAACCTGGAATGCATTGTTTTCTAGCATTAGATATGCCAAAAGCTTTCGTGGTCCTGTCTGTTTCCGCCATGCGATACTTGCACCTTTGGGATATGAAACTGCATGGTTCAAGGGACTCTCTGAAGACATAGATTGCAACGGTGCTTCTGCACGTGAACTATGGCAACACCCAGATGATAAAAAGACTGCTCGTCTGTCTGAGTTCGGGGAGATGATAAGAGCAGCATTTGGTTTTCCAGTTGATAGACATCATAACTCAAGGCCTGTTTCGGGTCTTAATGTCCTCTTTGTTAGACGTGAGGATTATTTAGCCCATCCACGTCATGGTGGTAAGGTACAATCAAGGCTTAGTAATGAAGAACAAGTTTTTAATTCTATAGAGGGCTGGGCATCAAATCATTCAGCTTGCAAATTGAATATAATAAACGGTCTATTTGCTCACATGTCCATGAAAGAGCAAGTTCGGGCCATTCAAGATGCTTCAGTCATAGCCGGTGCTCATGGGGCAGGTCTAACTCACATAGTTTCTGCTACGCCAAGGACAGTAGTGTTTGAGATTGTCAGTAGTGAATACAGGCGCCCCCATTTTGCCCTAATTGCCAAGTGGAAAGGATTGGAGTACCATGCTATTTATCTGGATGAGTCATATGCAGATCCTCCAGGGGTAATTTATAAACTCAGTGGCATTCTTAGAGGTCTTGGATGCTGAGATTTTTTGTGGTTTGAGACGACATTCCTCTTGATTAATTAGCTGAAGGATGCGAGCGACATTTTTGACCCCAGAAAGAAGGAAGGAAATGATTGGGCAGGAACATGAACCTGGAGCTTCGGATATCTGCGCTACAGACATCTGCAAAGCTGCAATAGGATCAAATCAAGTAGTCGTTAAAACATATGGCAGCCTGAGCAGTTTGTGCAGGAAGCATGCAGTGCTAGATGAGGAATGATCGTCTGAGAAGAAGACAATGGTAGAATTCCCTGAAATCTAAGTGATCTGGTAATGTATATACTTTCAAACTTGCAGGGACAAGAACTAGCAATGGCTGGGAGTTCGGACATTGTGGCTCACTCCTCGACAACTCTGACGGTATACTATTAAACTTAACTAGGTCTACATAGTATATATATAACCGCCCGCCGAAGGGGATTTTCCGTCACTTATACCAAGAAGTGATTATTCTGAAGATAAGCTGTAGGACATCATTTATTTTTAATACAAATTGGTACAAGTACGACCGACTCTCTGCCAATAGTGTCTGATTCAAAATGAAATGTAACTTTTGTGAAAATAACAATTCTGCGTCTGCTAAATGTCAAGAACCAAAAATTCCATTGCCTCGTTTCTCATGCGTTTGTTTTTCTTTCGAGGGATTTATGAGTTGAACGCATCCCTATTACGAATCTTGTCATCCTCCTCTGTCGCGCGCACCAACCTGACTAGGCCAGAGTTGAATTTGCTTGCAGGCGAGGACTGGGCTGGAAACATATGGCTAGAACCTGGAGCACTATTTAGACACCCCAAAAAAAAAAAAAAAAATTAATGATGCAATAGTTGTTTATGGGATTCTTTGTAGTATATTGTGAGCAACGAAAGAAGAGAGGCGGGTCAGTACTCAGTAGTAGTATCTAGGCATGGCCATGGTTCCACTTGGAACCGGGAACCGGACCGGAACCGAACCGTTTGGAACCGGACCAGAACCGGAACCAGAACCGTGGAACCAGAACCGTAGTAGAACCTTGGATAAAGGTTCCGGTTCTGGTTCTCTAAAAAATAGAACCAGAACCAGAACCGCCGGTTCCAGAACCGTTAAAAAATTTAAAAATAATTAATATAAAAAATAATAAAAGTAGAGGCATCATGATGACCAAGGTCATCATGATGCCACCACAATTTTTGCTCTCAATTTTTGCTCTCGGGGGCTCCTCCTGACTTGCACAAAGGTCCTCAGGCTCTCAACGGAAGAAAGAAACAAAGCAAAGGATAGAAAAAAAACAAGAAAGGTGGCTGCCTGCTAAATTTGACAAATTGGGGGTTAGGGTGAATTACAAGTTTACAACGTTACAATTCAACGTTGTAATTTTGTCCAAATTTTCAATACAACGTTACAAATTTGGAACGTTACAATACAACGTTCCAAATTTTTAATTTCATTTTGTCCTATAAATAAGACTTGAAATTTTATTTTCTACTACACCAAAATCAATCTTCTCTCTTCCATCTCTAAACTACTCTCAATTTCTTCATCTATTATCTATTTATTATTTCGTACTTTGTAGAATAATAATAAAATTAAAATATGATATTTATTTTGTATTTATTTTTTTACATTTTATTTAAAATTTTAAATATATTGTTATATTCGTATTAAAATTGGTAAGGATAAGAAATTAAATAAAATTGTATATAACCATACGGAACCGGAACCGGAACCAGAACCAGAACCGGAACCATAAGGAATCGAAATCAGAACTATGCGGTTCTGGTTCTACCTTTTTGAAGAACCAGAACCGCCGGTTCTGGAACCAGAACCAGAACCATCTTATATGGTGCGGTTCTGGTTCTACCTCTTTGAAGAACCAGAACCGGCGGTTCTGGAACCAGAACCGTTGGTTCTGGAACCGTGGCCATGCCTAGTAGTATCTATCATCAGAATCAAAAGAGCCTATAGCAGCAGGTAGGCTGTTTTAACGCATTCGTAAGACCTACATACCTGCCAATATCGTCTTCTGTTCTACTTGTACTTGCTACTTAGTTGAGAGCCTGGTATGTTTGTAGCATCAGTTTTTGCATAATAATCAAACGTAAATGCATATTGAAAGCATTCATGCACTGCTGTAATGCGTTCACGTAAAGTTGCATTAGAAGTTAAGAGCACCCTTTTCCTCCGCTGCTCTACAAAACAACTGGCATTGGGTTTCTCTAAAATAATACTACCAAGAATTGGCCCCAATGACAGCATTACAATTCAACTCAACTCTTACCAAACCTAATCCCTTTTTTTTGGGTTGGAGATGCTGTCAAAAAAAAAAAAAAAGTAAAAAAGGACTTCGGGACTTGGACTAGAGATGCAAACGAATTGAGTTGAGTCGAGATTCAACCTAATCGAGTTGACCTTCAACATAATTTTATGAAATTCAAACTTAAACTCAACGACCTCAAAATGTTAAACTTGAGCTCGAGTTTTAAAAAATAAAAAAATAATTATTTTTATTTTTTTAAAAAAAATAAAATAATTATTTTTTTAATAAATAATAAAATATTAAAAATATATATGTAATTTTATTATTAAAATTAATATATATATACTTACACTATATAAGAACGAGTTTAGAACTAGATTTCAACCGCACGGGTGAGGCTATTTTGGGAATATAAGAGTGTTTGAAGAGTAATTGGAACATTGAGTACAAGTCATTATAGCTTTAATTTCACTATAATTACTTATATAACCTTTCAGACATTTAAGGTTAGGAGCAGGTTTGGTATGTTACAATGTTTGGTGCCAAATTGAGTATCAAGTACAACTGAATAAAGCTTGTGTTTTGATAGAATTACATAAAAGTCCTTTTAATCATTTATTATACTAACATCCAAACCTTCCAATTTCCTAAAACCTTTCTCGTCCGTTAAAGAATTAATTGGATGTTTACATGATTGGATTTTAATTACAATTAATTAACTTAATTATTATCTGAACAATCATTATCATATTTATGTCCCCATGTTTAGATATACCCTTTCTTCTTTTTCAGTTTCACCTCTTTGGTTTTATTATGGCTATTAAATATTTGGTGGAATGCGTAGCTTTTCCTTTAAATTGATGTGAGTTCTTTGGGTTTGTCTTCTTCGATTGTAGTTTTTTTTTCTGATAATTGGTTTATTCAAGAATTCCATATAGTTTGTTTTTGATACTTCTAATTCCAAAAACTGACTAATTGTATTGTTTTCCTTAGTAGATCCCAGAGATTCTGTCTCTGGTCAAAGTACAATTTGAGATAATGTTGTCACTTTCTAAAATAATCAGAAAAACAATTTGATCATCTTCTCCTCCTCGACCAAGGTATTATCTCTTTATTTAAGTCAGATAACGTGTTATTTCTCATGAACTTTCTCCTATTGTTCTTGACTCCATGGATCTGTTGACTACATTCCAGCAGTTATAATTCATGTAGTTATTTTTTCATGTAATATGATTTGGAATTCAACTTGTGTTTATTTTAACTGAGAATTTTATGATTGTAAAATTTATTAACTTAGAATTTTGTTCTTCATTGAAACTAAAAAAGAAAATTAATCATGCTACATAGTACTAAGATGTCATTTGCACTCTATTTGCTTTCCATGTTATGATCTCGTTCTTGTATTATACTGTTTATATAGTTTCAAATACAAAAAATTTGCTTTTTTATGCTATCTAAAAGAATTTGTAGTGAAACTTGATGAGTTTAAATGCTTTAGTTACAGCACCATTTTGATTGCATTGTATTAATTCATTTACTCATAATTGTATGTTGTACAATGATAAATAATGTTTCTTGATTTGATTGAAGCAACTATTATCCATAGTTCAAACGAGTCAATTAAGTAGAAATGTTATATTGGATACTTATACAAGTAAACATTGAAAAATATCATTAAACAGTTTCTACCTATAGTTTGCAATTCGAATTCATATGAGCAATTTCTTCTGATTTTAGTTACCATTTTCTACAATTTCAAATTTAGAAAATATTATTTGCACCAATTTTTTATAATCAAGATAGTTTCAATTCAGATCTTTTACAATTATGCAGATTTGAACTTATTTATGAGATTATAAAGAAATGCCCCTAGCAAAAAACACCAAATCTGAATAGTTTCTACAAAATTTTGAAAAAAACCACTTAAGTTTCTTATTTATCTATCATTTTTGGGCATCATTATCTCTGTAAGAAACATGTGATTAAGTCGTATTATATGCCCACCAAATTATATAAATAGTTAGTCAAAGATAAAATTATTTTAGACTAGATTGGATGCAAAGTGATTGATGGATAAACTTGACTTGATAATTCAGGTTGAGCTTAAGTCAAGGGAGAAATCAGAAACATTGTTTGAGGGATCTTTCATGAACATATATAGATTCGAGAGATGAATGGTCCAATTGATATTTTAAAATGTTTTATCATCTTGGATAAGTTTTAGAATAGACCTTTGGATACTTTTCAATTGCACTTAGACATTCTTACATTTTCAAACTACCCTTATCTTTACAGTTGAAATTTAAACATAATCTTTGATCACAACGGATTCTTATATAGTATAACGATAAAGATGTCTCATTGCACATTATTTTTATTGACTCACTATATAACTTATGATTTTTCTATTAAAATCACATGAAAAAATCATCATACTTAAGTTCCTATACTACAAAATATTAAACAATAATTATTAATTATCTTGAATCACAAGCACCAAATTCCCGCGCGTCGCGCGGGCTATCCCTCCCTAGTATATATATATATAATCGAGTTCGAGTCGACTCGCGAGCTAACGACTTTAGTATTTTTAAATTCGAATTCGACTTAGTTAACTTGAACTTAATAATGTTGATTGAACTTGAGTCGAGTTCGAATTCAACCTGCTCGTGATTGACCCGATTCATTTGCAGCCCTAACTTGGATCCATCTTTTACATTTTTCTGTTTTTCCTTCTAGGGTCGGGTCATGTAGATTAGGAACTAGTAGTACTATTCTATTTGGAGTATCTTTTAAATCCGCAAAAATAGGTGGGAGAGAGAGAGAGAGAAGGGTGAGGAGGTTCCAGACAGAAAGAGAGAACAAACAACACCTGATGCTGATGAAGCAGAAAATCCAAGTCCGGCTCCGGATCCTGTATATTCCTGTGATCAAAATGGAAATCGAAAAAGTTGCTCCTCTCATTATACTTTCCGTAAATAATTCAACACCCACCCCTGATTTCCCAAATACTACCATAATAAAAACATCGAAGCCCTCACCAAAGAAAATCCGTAAATGGCATTTGCCCATTTCCCCCTCCTCAACCTCATCATCCCCTCTCTCCTTTCCCTCCTCTTTCCCCTGCATTTCCACCAGTAACAACAACATCAACCACCACCCTTGAAGAAATTTTCCCAAATCCTAATAAATAATAATGCCGACCCAGGTTGAACAGGGAAGGAGAGAGATGGTGGGGGTGGGGGGCCTCATGAATCATCAGCAAAAGCCATCCGATCACCGCAAGGCCCTGAAACGCTCTCCCACTATGAATCTCAAGAGGCTTTTTACAAAGGCTATGCGTACTGCTTCCCTTTTTAAATCCAAAAAATCTCGGCCTAA